GTTTCGGTCCGTCCTGGACCATTCTCAAGACGATGAAGAGAATAGCCCAGGACGGACCGAAACGTCGTCGTCGTCCCTTCATTTTCTAGGGTGTGGATTGGTCAATGCACATCAGAAGTTGGAGAAGCGACGATGTTTCGGTCCGTTCTGGACCATTTATCAAGGCGTGTGTCATGTTCCAGTGTTCAGAGTGGTTAGAACACCATGCATTCCAGTTCTTAAAACGTTCCAATGTTCATAATAAATAAAATGGCTAGTGTTCCAGTGTTCAGAAGTATTCCAGTGTTCATAATAAATAAACTTAATGCCTTAACGTTTTTTCAGTGTGCTCAAAAGTATTCCTGGCTGTATAATACAGTCAACAACACTGACTTTCAGTTGTTGTTGTTGTTAAAGATTCGCTACTTGGAACAAGAAGTTCCAAGTAGCACGGGCTATGGTGAGCCCGTAGTGGATATTGACTTTCAGTATTTTGTATAAACGATACGGAACTGGTCTGTTATTGATGAGGTCACGAGAAAAACGCTGTTCAGTTATTGTCATTTCATCGTGATAATATTTTTAAATTATTATTTTTCCTTTTATCTTCTTCTTTTCATGGGATTATTTTCCTTTTTGTTAAGGTGTTGAGATAAACGTTCTTGAGCTGTTTACTATTTTAGCTTCAAACATTTTACATAATTGCGCCTTGCTTATGTAGCATTTTGACAAATGTTATTGTGTGGCTTTTGTGCCGCGTGTTGACATTATGGACGCAAAGCCTAACTGGCTTGACTCTTTCTCACGGTGTTGAAGTGGTGGTGGTGGAGGTGGTGATGGTGGTACTGGTGGTACTGGTGGAGGTGGTGGTGGTGGTGGTGGAGGTGGTAGTGGTGGTACTGGTGGAGGTGGTGGTGGTGGTACTGGTGGTACTGGTGGAGGTGGTGGTGGTGGTACTGGTGGAGGTGGTAGTGGTGCTTGTAGTGATAGTGGTGCTGCTTTTGGTGTGTTGTTGCTGCTGATGGTGGTGGTGGTGGTGATTTCTGGTGCTGGTGGAAGTTG